GGAATGCCCAGAGCCAGAGATTTTAACCAGTAAAAGGGTTAAAAGTAATTTGAAGTCTTAAAAAATAAGCAAGTTATATGGAACATTACTAAAAGTTCCATGATGCAGAGAGATAAACGGGGTCATTTAAGAACTCCAGATAGAACCCAAAGTAAGAGGCAGCCTTATCAAAACAAAATGATACTCTGCTTAAATTCCAGGATCCCTGCTTGTTGGTTAAGTTTAAAAAGTTTCTTTCAGTAAAGCCAAAAGATGAAGAGAATGCTGCAGATAGTGTTCAAGCTAATAAAAGAGTTGCTCTGAATAGGTTTGTGAACTTGAAACTCTAAGCCTCCTCTCACATCAGATGGTAATCAAAAAGACAAACTCAAACCTGCTGGAAACTCAAACCTGCCACAGTTACGTAAGGCTTCTGAATGGGCCATTTGCTTGAACTTTCTCATATAGTGTCACAATTGTATTCAGTTTGTTGGACCACTGCAATAAAGTTTCTGTCCTCAAGCATGCAATTATTTTCCCAGAGACACCAATTCCCTGAAGAACAGGGGGGAAATTAAGCTCTAAACAATCCATTAAAGAGGAACCTCACTTGCTGTCAGTTATGGAGCCTGGAGCAGTCTGAAGCTATTCTGTTTACCCTGAGAAAGAGAAGATCAAACAGTGAGCAGATAAGATACCGTTTTAAAGCTACCACAGTCCCTCTCAAAGAATCAGTGCAAAAAGGCCAGCATACACCTCTACGCATTTTAAGTGACACTGTATATTTCTGTCTCCTTTTTGTAAAGAAGATCATACTTCTCATTTGTAATGAACAGTACACCTTTGTTCCAAGGCCTAAGCACCTGAACAAGGTTGCTACTAATGTGACTTCCAATTTAAACTTTATTAGACATCTTTTTTAACAGCCTGATCAGAACATGACAGTTGTTAATTTTTAAAACCCACCTCCTGGATGAGTTGTATTGAATTGAAGGCTTAAAGGTAATAGGCATTACACTACTCAAAAACACATTCAGAGAATGCATAGCAGCTACTTGACCAATCTATGAACTCTTAAAGAACTACACAAAGATAAACATGTACTAGACTCGCTCCCTCAAGAACAATACTGATACCCAGACAAGGTGATTGAGGTCTAGTTGCCCCTAATTAAAAAGCTGCACTCATATGACACAACCCCTTGAATACCAGTACATAGAAACCTAGGGAGTTTCATCTGTTTAAATACAGTGTCTCTGTTTTTAAACAGATCCTTCCCACTATTCTATCCACCATCTGTGCTCCTACATGGGTCCACGCTCATCTAAATGCACAGCTTCATTTACCTATGTTTAAATGCTGGCATCTACTCAGGTTCTTCTCATCCATGCTCAGGTATGCCAAAGTAGCAACTCACCTGTACCACCTTCTAGGAAAACAATACCCAAAACACCTTCTCCTAGCTAGCATAGGAATCTCTGCCAAGGCTGTGGATTTATTAGTACTGGAAGGTGAAACAAAGCATGGCTTTAGCTGACAGTTTTGAGGCACTTCTATAGAACAGCTCTGAGAGTCAAGTGACAGCAATCCTCTCCTGTCACAGAATGAGGATACAGCAGCAGCTTTCAGAGCACCAAACTACCTCACAAGCTGGACACAGACTATCAGCACTCTTGCAACTAGAACCACATTATGTCCTGCGTTTTGTGGGAATATAAAGACCTTCACAGGGTTAAGAGACAAAGAGTTCTGAATCTCAGAAAAGCAGCTTTCCTAAGAGTTCTGGTGCCTAATCCATGTACACAAATACTTTCATTAACTTCTGTAGTTATAATCCACTAGAAAAAACTTCCCAGAAAAGGTTTCAGGCATACTGTTCCATTTTCAATCTATCAAGTCACATTAGAATGTCATATTTCTGAAACAAAGCCTTATTAACATAAATGTTTATAAAGCAGGGACCTGTGGATTTTAAGCAACATTCAGATTATCTATATAAAGACTGACTAGAAATACCTGAAAAGGAGACTTGAAAATTTAATTACCTGAAGCCTACATTTCAAAGCACTATTACTATAGCTAGCGACTGTACAGTCAAGTACAAATATTCTGTATAACTTTACCACATCTAAATAAGATTCTTGTAAAAACCCGGTTGACTTAGAAAAAGTACATATGCTAAAATGATCTCTACAAACTAAACACTGCATTTTTACAACCAATTCTGTTCCCCTCACTACTACTGGAAAAGTTGAGCTTACTGAAGTTAGCAAAGCAAAATTGCACCTATGTGTTCCACTTATGGATGCACAGAGACTGCTGTGTTTCTGTCATTACCACCATTTTATAGAATCCATGAAGTCAAATTATAATTTAAGCAAAATACTATTAACAAAGGTCACTACAATCATTCATATTTCACTTCTATTTAGGTTTTTGTACTGACATGCTAGTTTGGTCTTCTGCAGGTCTGAGGTCTGTATTTCTGTTCTTGAAGACTGAAGATGCACCTTTTATTAAGGAAACCATAGCTTATATCTTTTGTATTCCATGTCAGACACTGATGCACATTCTACTCAGTAAACAAGAGTCACACACATGAACTCTGGGAACCACATCCCCTGCAATTAAAAAATATCACATTTTGACTGCAGAGTTTGGGGGTTCAGCTAATGAAACAAGCAAAGACATAAAATGGTATTTTTAATATCAGAACAAGTATTTGTTAACCATTATTATTTAGCTCAACTATCTAAAATTTGTCATGCATCGTATAGGTGTCAATTTCACAAAAATTCAAAATTATTACATATTTCAAATGCAAATAGTTGACTACAAGTATTTTGGACTCTTCCATCATGATCCCCCTCAAAATGGCAAAGTAGTTTTAGATGCTTATTCTGAGACACTTTAAAGATGGACAGTATGTATATATACCAGTATATCAGGATATACATGAAGACAAGGTGACAAATAAAAATGCATCATTTCAAACTGAAAAAATAGAGGTGGGAAAACATATTTACTTCAGACTTATTTTAGAAAGTGGCGTTAGTGTCATCTGAGGGTAAAGGCAGGGACAGCAGCTGGGCATGAGACATACGCACTCTTGCACATTGCTGTAGGGGTTTGGGATGCAGCACAGACATGTACACACAGCTGTTACTGAAGAAGTCCCCAGGCTATTGCACACCTTTCAGTGCAGTGTCAGCATTTTGATCAGTTAAAATGAGGAAGAGTAAAAGAAAGAAAAACCCAAAACAGAAACAACCAACAGCACACACTCTGATAATACACATGATTATGTTAGAGCATGACTGGTACTGGAGCCCCCAGCAGCTATGGTCACAGGGAAAGCAGGGGGAGCACCACAGCAGGGACAGAGGTTAAGTGAGATTTAACCCTGAAGCACTTAGAGGTGATGCAGAAACACAAACCATACGGGATATACACAAGGGAACAGAAGCTCATCAAGTTGTTTGCCCCTTTTCCCCCTACAGATAATCATTCCACATAGGTGAGTACACAACTTCAAGATGGTTTCAAGCACATGTCCAAATACCAGGTCTTTAACAAAATATGTTTGGGGGAAAAAAAAAAACTAAACAAAACAAACCACAAACAAAACCCAAAAAAACGAAGACTCCTGACTCCTCAGATGTAAAACAACTGTAGTTAGCCCAAAACAAGCTACACGACCTTGGCAATGAAGACTTTATTTTGAACTTGAACAAGAACTGCTACCCTGAAGCCAAGGGTAAGAAAACAAGATAAGGACAGCAGCTCCTTTAACTGAAAAGCAGAGTGGCAATTTGTTAATAATGACAGGGTGCCATTAGCACTATTTGACACAAAAAGGTAGAAACGTACAGACTTTCTACAGAGCAGGTATGCACTGAAGTAAAATGCTTCATGCAGAAGAG